CGGTTATCCAGCTTTTGTTCTTTCTCGCTCGCGTTCGTTCCGAAAGTCGTGCCCGTTTTACGCTTAAAAGTCAAAATCAAGAGGGGTGGGAAGGGGGAAGTTCATTTAGAAATAACAGTCGATTCTTTTTAATTTTTACGTAAACGACAGTTTTGTATATCGCATCCTCTTTCGGATCCTCTTTCGTACCAGTTTATAAAAATGTCACGTTATAAAAAGCAACAGCTGATTAGCATCAACGGTCGACTTTCGGAAAAAGTTTTCGTGATTGGATATTGGAGAAATAGATTGAGCCCAAAATTCCAATCTGTCTATCCACATCGTTCTTTATTTCTTTTCCTTTCTTTTTTTTAAATATATACAGCGAGAAATAAATATACAAATTGTGCCAAAATCAGCAAAATATGTGTTATTATAACTTTTATATCTATTATTAAAAATAGAGAAGAATCGAGTAATGAAAAAAAAATTGACATTTTGCGAAAAATTCTTTCCGATTGACAAGTGGTCAAAATCGATATCGGCGATTCAAAAATAGCTGAGAACAACAGATAAACGCGATTCGCCATCCGCTGAAACTCATTGTCTTGTATCAGAGACGTCACCGCGTATTTCTATGTAATAACACTATCACTCCCTCCCCTATGTAAGTCAATCCCGCGGCTCTCTGTTTAATATAGGGATTGTTCTAGAGAGGTCATTTCCAATGGCACGATTATAACCCCCTCCCCCCCCATCCCGTTCGCTGCACATAACAACGGAAGCAACGTGACACACGAGAGGTTGACATTGTTACCGGCATGATTTTGTTTGTCCCTTTACCGTTCCTTTTCTTTTTCCCCTTAATCCCCCTTTTAGGGTAAAAACCGGTCGGTTTAGAAAGAAAAAAATATTACTTTGTCATCTTTTGTTCAATAGATAGGATAAAGAGAGAATGGAACAAGAGTGAGAAAAGGAAGGATAATTTAGAGCCCGTTTTAGGCGATCTAGAAGTCGCACAAGTTATATAATAATTTCTTGCCTGCTCTTCTTTTTGGTAAAATTTTGATGGGAAATATTTGGGGATATTTTTAAGATGGGGGGAATATATATTTATAAAATCAGTAATTTGTACTTGAAAGTTTTAAGTTTCATGTAAAACAAACTTTTTATTGATTGCATTTTAATCTTGCCTTCATCTCATGTTGGTTTTTATTTTTTTGTGTTTTTTATTTTCTAATCATCGAATTTATATATATATATTTCATTTTATTAAATGATACCGTTTATTTTGCTCTTTGTTTCTTTCCCTTCGTTGATGCTCTTTTCCTTCTTCGGTTACTCTTTCTCTCTCCAGTCGCTTAAACGTACAAAAGCGTCTCCGGCAGTCGGCGACGCGGTCGATACTCATAGCGTATCACCCCCCGGCTGACCGAGCTTTACCCTTACCCTTACCCTTATCTTATTGAACCTTTAGACAGATTCACCGATTCGGTTCCCCCGCGTTACGTGGCCACATCTTCTCTCCATCTGTATGCGAAGCAGCAATATATCAATTGCCGACAGATCCAGCTGGTATCTCTCGATAGTTGTCATTCTTCTGGGAAAGAATCGCGAGAGAATTCGAGGAATTTCCCTTTCATCGAAGAAATCTGGAAAAGTTGGAGGAATTACCGTAAATTGCAAGATCTCGTTGATTTTTCTTGTTTTCAGGATTAATCTTTTATCTAATGATAGAAATTGAAAACTTACAATAATCTCCCTCTCTCTCTCTCTCTCTCTCTCTCTTTCTCTCGCGCGCGCGTAAATATTTCTATTGAAGAAGAATCGGTTTTAAATTGGAAGCTTTTTAGATCAAGATTTTGGAAATTAAATAACCTATATCTTTAGTGAGCAGAAAAAAGAATTAATGTTATTATTTGCTATTTACATTATTATACAATTGTCAGTACTATTTTCTCAATTCTAGTTTTTTTTTTTTTTTTCGAAAATTAGCATTTTTAAAGATTTTTTAATCCAAAATTTAATGATTTTTTGGGATGGGACACAATGGAAGAAATTGTAAAAATTATTTCAACGATTAGCTTTATATTTTGTATATTTATTTTTGTAGAAACATGTAGAAAAGTATTTTGAAATGACCTGAATCTTTACAATTATATAATTGCTTATAATCACGATTGATTAGGAAATAGAGTTTTTACGCAGGTGCTGTAACTGACTCGGACAATATGTTAAGCGAATTGCTCAACAATGCCAAAAAGGAGATTCGCTTTCCAACTTGTTGGCACACGATTCGCTATCACTGCTTTTGGATAGTCTTTTCGCTCATGTAACGTTCAACCGGTTTCTAAGCTCGTAAGACTTGTAACTATCATATCCATTGACTCATCGTCAGTTTTATGAAAGAATCGGTCGATCATTCTCTGATTTAGAATAAAAATTATTTTTCTATGCTTGTAAGTCACGAAAATTATAATATTTTATTTGGACAAACATTTTTCTAATACAAATTATTTATCTCTAAATGACAAAATTTATCTCGAATAACAAAATTATTTGATATATTAAAATTGATGATAGATTATATATGTAATATATTCTTCTAAAATCTTATTAATTTACTGTAACGAAATATATGAAATATTTTTCATTATTTATATTTATATTCGATTCTTCCATCTCTCGGTAATCGCTGGATCGGTTCGTTCGGTGAATAATTGCTATATTTTTTTACCTTATAGTATATAATGGCTAGAATACATGTATAAAAACGCATGCACATATACAGCAGTTAAAGTTAATTAACTCTCGCGGATATAGCTAAGTGACGTTCAAGGAATCGATTATTATATTTGTAATTTTTTGCTTACAATGAAATGTGTGTTAAATATCACACATAAGATTTTTTTTTTTACATACACATGATATATACAATACATTTTTTTTAGTTTTGCTTTTTTACATGAGCAGTATATTCCTCAAAAATTATATTAAATAATAAAACTTGTATTTTTTGGCACGCTTATGAATTTTATATATACTATCTGTATATTTTTTGTTATAATATGCTTTAAAATTTTATAAAGCGTATATTGCGCGCACGAGATATATAAATCCACAATGTACATGTGTATTCATAAATATGTATTTTGTAAAACTGAAAGCATACTAAAAAAAAAAAATATAAATAAATATAGATTTTTAATTATGTCATATTGTATTAAAACTCGATACAATAATTTTCTTGTAATTAATAATTTTCTTTTTCCCCTAATTAAGAAAAAAAAAAAAAGAAAGAAAACAGACTGATGTGTCTTCTGATCTTTAAGAAATTAACTCGTGTTTTCTCCGAGATCGATTTCGATCAATTTTTTTTTTTTTTTTTATTCAAACTTCGTAAAACCTTTAGCCGACTTCGAGAAGAGCGAAAGCTCTTAATCTCTGAATCACAAAAGTTGAAATTGAAACAACTTTCGCGATTCATGCGTTATAACCAAGACGATGCATCGTGACTTTGAACTCGGTGTCTTATCATGCGTTCGGTGCACCCGCATCTAAAAACCCGCGATCCGCGGGCGCTCTCTCCCCTCTATCCTCATCTCCCAACGGAGGTTACGTCACTAACCTCCAGTTAGGCGAGGTCGGGATCGGTGCCGCATGCCGAGTCCGCATCGCAATTTTATCTGCTTTGAATTCGAATATTCGTGCGATGATCAAGTTGACACTTCAAGAAGAGAGCACATCATTTAATCATGACGTTCAGGAGATCTCGAAAAATATTACGGTTATTTTAAAAAATAATATATAATTTAACATAAATCGATATATATGTATATATTAAATAACCTAGTATGTATTAAATATATAATAAATATACATATGATAGAAACTTTTATTTTATTAGATTTAAATTTTTTATTATTATATTAATACAATATTTACAGGACAAAAAAATTTAGAAAATTCTGATCTTTTTTTGAATTAAAAACATACATATTCGTTATTTGAATTCTATTTTAGGCTCAATGTGCATTACTTGAAATGAGCTTCGTTCTCTCAGCCAATCAATTTATTGTTCTAAAGTAGAATCTTTTTTTATTAAATAAATTGTAATTATAATTTTCATCATAATTAACAATTTGTAAAAAAATTTACCAATTTATTATAGACATGCTTTTCTTTGTATATTATTAATTCATTATATGTATGTATATATTATAAGATTAATATCTCAGATCTGAAATGATTAGCGAGATCTGAGATATTAATCTTATAATATATACAAATAAAAGCAGGATTGAGTAAGATAATTTTTTTTTAAACTAAATTAAGTTAAAAGTTATTAAACAAAAATTAACTCAGTTAAAATTAAGTTAAAAAATTATTAATTTATTAAAGTTACAAGTTAATTCTCTATCCAACAGTGAATCGTCACATCTGACAAATGAAATATTTGCATTACGATCAACCATTTTCATATGACTTTAATATTGATGAATTATTTTAACTTGTATAAAAGAAGTTAATAAATTAATGATAATACATTTAAAAATAACTAGTTTAAATTAAAAGTTAACATGTTTAAAATTAACTAAGTTAAGTTAAAAGTTATTAACTTTCCAACTTTATAACTTAACTTTTAACTGTTTAACTAGTTACTACTCCGAATAAAAGACGTCGTTGCAATTGTGATAATAAAGAATAAATCTTATGCAATGGGTCAGTGGGACTGGATATTAATTATACCAGTGCACTTATCAAAGAAACAAAATTTCGTTGATGCGTTATTCGAGCGAACAATGTGACGTATCACAAAAAGCGTTAATCTTGTCGACTTTTAATTTCCTTAATGCAAGTGGCGAACGGTCATTTCCTCGTATTACTCCGATGTGTGTACGCGAGGGGGAGGGGAAAGGAAGGGAGGGAAGGAGCTCCTGGGAATTTCATGTCAACACGCGCGTTTGAAAAGAGTGTTCACTGACCTCGTCGGTGCTTACGACCTATTCTCTTTTTTTCAGATCGCTCCCTCGGCAAAAAAGCTCTGGGGCGTGGACGAAGGAGGCTCCAAGGACGAAGGGGGTGTAAAAGGCGGTGGGACCCTGCTTCACCTGGGCGACCACCAGACCATGTGGCGGGATTCCACCTGGAGCACGTCAGGTACGATACGCGCGATTATTATGTATATTGTTGACGGAAGCAGAGAGTGGAGTAATCGAAACCGTTTGGATAAACGTAACGGCTCGTAAACGAGCCGATCGCTAATTCCCTCGTAACGTTTGAGTATCGTATGTGTAGGCAATCCTACATAATCCCTAATTACGCATAGTAGTACACTATTAAATTATTAGCAATGATAATTTTAAATATATCTAATTTTTTGACAATTTTTAACAATCGTATTTTTGTATAAAATTATCTTTTTTTATTTATCTAAGAAATTCATCGGAAAAAGACGAACAATTGTTACACTAATAAGAAATTTATGTATATATGTAGAACATATTGTTGAATATTTGTTAATAATTAATTTAATTTAATTGATTGTTCTTCTAAAAAGATTGTCGAATAAGATGGAAGGATTGTACACGAAATTAAATGTGCACTGTTCGATCACAGACGACAATGTCTCTGTTTGCGAAAGGCGATATATCCGTGTAGGAAATACCGAGGTACGAAGCGCGATGCCGCGTATTTTACGTCGTACACGCTTATTGATTGATACAGCACTAAAAGAACAGCATGTAGATACACATATACGTAGTTCGCTCGCCGCTGCCGCCTTCTGCTGGTCCAGGGGGGCAGCGTCAAGCTTTTTCGCAGTATACGACCGATTGAACGGCAACATTGATTAATATTGTAAATATATATAATTCTGAAAACGAGCTCTATCAATATTATTTTAATTCTGTCGAGGTAGGATTTATTTTGTTTTTTCACACGGCAAATTTTTATTTAATTATTTTATATAATTTTATGAAATTTTAAAAAACTTTACTACACGTATATACAATTTAAAGAGTAGGAAAATTCGGGGATAACTTATATATTTTATCTTGAAAATATATTTATATTTAGTTTGAATATTGGATGGGAAAATAATATTTTGAAAAGTTTTTCTTTTTTTTACAAATTCTCGATAAATTTGAACATTCGTCACTTTAAAAGCGATAATTGTCTCTAATTATTTTTGTAATTATTTCTAATATTTGATAATTTGATATTCACTAATTGAATTTTTGACATGATGTGATAATTGATTCATTTATTTGGCCGAGAAAGAGAAAAAGGGAGGGAGAGATAATACGTATTTTACACATTAATATTTAATTTTATATATTATTTTTCTGACTATTATTGTTTTGAAATTCTTCAGAAGCTCATGAGAGATATAAAATATTAGTGACAGAGATTTATTGATATACTAATAAAGTCTTTAAGCTTTAAAGTTCCGGGATGCCAAGAGAATGATACATAAACGCGCGCTTTCGAGAAATGTCAGAAAACGACCTAGGGAATGTCAAGTCATTTTACGACGCCTAGCGTATATCAACCGTCATATAAATGCTTTAATACTTATTACATTCACAATTTATAAATACTTTCAGATCGGACGTATTATGTTTAAATATTCTAGATATTTTTATTGGTTAATTTAATATAATACAATCTGTTATTTTTTAATCTTGCTTTTAACCGTATCAATTACAGATATCTGTTAGACGCAGTCCTGAATTGTATACGAGTTTTGCTCCGATTGAAAAGGGCCTAATAAATGTGGATCTAATAAATGTTAGGATATATATGACGCTGGGTGTATATACAGGGTGTGCACGAAACACCTGATTTCTCATAAGAAGTGTGTGTACCGGCTTCGGCGGCGGCGACGACGACGACGGCCGCCGTGTGTGCGTCATACCCACGATGGGTGCAACGCGGCTGTTGCCATGGCGACAGACGCCCGGCATCAGCGACGGCGGTGGGGGCAACGTCCCAACGCCCAGGATCGTACCTACTGATCCACCCTGTTAGCGAGCACCCCGACCGACCAACCCTCCCCGACGTGGCCGATCGTCCACCTGGGCCGCGTTCTATTGGCGTCATATGGAGCTGCGTGAAAGGGCGGAAAAAACTTCTCTATTTATACGGGAGCCTAACGGAATCTCGTTCGATAATGCTCGGCGCCGCAGCTGCCGTCCAATGGCAGCAAATTGCTATTTGGATAAATTTCATCTATCGTTTTCTATCTCTTTCTGTATCGATAAAATCCTCTCGCATGGAGATCTATAATTAGATTCTAATGGATATCCATTAGCGCGAATCGATTAGATCGACGAATTTCAAGAAATAATTGAAGAGCTTATTTCTGAAGCATCTTGAAGCTTTTTCTCTCATTGCATATCGGAATTATAGTGCAAGGAAAACAATTCGCATAATCTCTCATTTTTTATGAATGAGTATACAATAAATAAGTTACGATAGAAAAGCAGAAATAAATATGGAATAAAAATCCTGCGAAACCGTGTACAAATTGTAGACAAGGATACTCTCTCCGTGACACGAATTCCTTTAGCGAGACGTGTTTTATATTATATATATATTTGTGTCTATTGATTCTTCTTTGTATTGACTCGCAGTTGTCGAGAATCTTGGATTTCTACGTATAGAAAATACTATTTCTTACGATCATTTGTGTACGCGATTTTTTTATTTTAACTTGATCAATACACTTGATCAATCGAAAATATTTACCACTATCAACATTCGAATCTGAATTGTACAAATCTGTACATTTTTTGGGAGTAAAATGGCTCTGATCGCACAAATAATCTTTGTAAACATTGATATGAATGTTGTTTGTCCTTTACAGATCATGCAGTGTCGCAGCCAATCTCAATGGGCACGGGTAGACGTGTGGGAGTTGGGACGGGATATCATCATCAAGCATCAGAAGTCGGAACAGTGCTCAGTCCCAGAAGCAGGTTAGCATGTTTATATATTTCGTTTTGTATCCACAATTTCCCGAATATTATGCATTTTTGCCTGTCGAATCTCTAAAATAAAACAAGCAGCATTTATTCCAATGGCGAAATGTTGATAGTTTTTAATTTATAGCTGGAGAAATAAGTCTTCCGACGAATTAAACTTTAATGATATAAATAGATGAAAAAATCTTATTAATTTTTTGTATCTTTTGATTTTAAGTTAGCTTTAATTATTGAAATGTAATTTTAATTAGTATATAATCAATGATCAAGATAATTCATATGAAAATTATGGAAATTTATAAAAAAATATATACTTTAACTATATATACATATATCGCTCTATTATTTTATTTTTATTTCTTTATTACAGAATACCGATGCAGACAAGAAAGAAAAAGAGAAAGGTTCGGCAAGTCCCTTTGATAGTACAAAGGATGACACTGGCCCTCAGGGTAACGGATTAGCGTCTCAAAATGGTCTGGATGAAGATAAAGGATTTAAGTAAGTTCTATAACTTATTTTACCGCTAAAACTATTTGATATTTTAAATGCATTATACAAAATATTTCAAGTATATTTTTCTCTTGAAATATAAATTGATATTTAATGCGAGCTTGATTATTTTTAAAAAAAATTTTTAATTAATTTGTTTTTTACAATATATATATTTTAATGTGTAAAATTAAAACTGAATTTATTGTACAACTATTTATACAATTAATCTTGAAATTAATTTCGGGATGGAGTAAACTGAATGTTTATTTCTATTTTCCTTTTTCAAGCTTTTTTTACAAACAATTCCTTTTATTAAGCCTAGGTTATAACATATACGGGATCTCTTTTTCGTGCGTGCGACATATTTATTAAATATCAATATAATAAATATACTGAATAAATACAAAATAAATATAATATTGTTAGAAATAATTACTTTAGAATTAACCCGTTCAAAAATAACTACTCTCATATTAGAAAAGAATTGATTACGAATTCGATAAAAAAAACTGTATTTGAGAGGAAAAATGCTTAAAGTAATTTCTATAATTTTTTTTCGTTTAGTCTACATATCCGAATTTTGTTCTAATAGCAACTCATTTTTTCTTTTGCAGTGAAACAGGTGGTTTGGGAGTTAAAATGGTTGAATATGTTCTTGGATCGAGTCCCACTACACCAAAAGATTTGGAACCTCGAATGGTTTCTCTGAGATTGGTAAGTATTATACGCAATGCTGTATAGAAAACTANACTACTCTCTAGGTTGAATCTGTAATTAAAATTCGCAACGCTTATATACTGCTGTATACGCTTATATAACCAGCTGTATAGTATAATCATAGAGTTATCGAATCTATATATAAGTATTGAAATTACTCAAGAAATTATAGCAGGAATCGTAGAAAGTTATAATAATACTAGGTATAAGCAATGTGTGCCGTCTATAAGAGAATGTAATTTTTTGCTTGTTTATTATATTCTATCTTAACATTTTATATGTCGCATGCATCGCGCAAGTAGCAGGACGAAATAGCGTAATAACGATAACTGTCAAGGGCATGTTCTATGCGCGGCCGATGACATCACATTCTCCACTATTTCCTTTTGCGATAGCTCGGCGTCCGATTTCCAGCAATGTTGCGCCATCAGTAGCACTCAAGAGAAAGCACAATCCACAATGATATTACCGACATCACCTTAGGTTGCATTTATGTTTTGTACCTGCTATTTTCATATTAAAATCTTTTTGGTTAAATTAATTTAATCTGTTTAAATCATACCAATTTCGTTTCGGAAATGTTTTAAATTTTGAGTTTTAATTTTACTTGTGAAATTTTATTCGCAAATTATAATTAATAAAAAAGAAATTATGTAAGATATACTTGATACACACAATGCCTTTCTTTCACGATAATTTTTAGCTTAGATTAAAATTTATCGTTTTGTCATACTGTAGTTTTCATACTTTTTGCCCAACGTATTGATTGAAGAGGGAAGTGGTGCAACCACAGGAATGCAGTGCTATTGCAGTTTTTTGCGTCATTATGATAATGACATTAGGTCACCGTTGATAGCCGTCATTGACGTGCATGAGCATTACATGCTTTCTTTTCTCACGAGATCAGTAACGCGGATTGTCTGACTTACGGATTGCGTCTTGTTATATGCGTTACTATTATGCAAAGTGCACCGTTACACGACATGCAGTCAATTGCGTAGATATAGAATCTTGTGCGGTTTCTTTATGCGAAATTATTCATGGGATTGGTCACATCAGGATTTTCAATTCTTAACTCTTTCTTTAACTGCCTTTTGCCTAGAAAATAACGATTCCACTAACCAGAGAATCTTAATAGAATTAAATGTTGTTTGTAGCAAAACCAGGAGTTTATTAAACTTGTTTAAATCGAAAATTTTTGTGCTAAAGCAAAACTAGAGATGATACACAAAAGATATTTGTAATGATAATTCTAAAATATAAAAAGTGTGTATATTATGTATAGAAACGCTGCTACAAATCGGAATTTTTTAACTGATATCTTATTCACTAAACATTCTGCACATGTTGCTTATTTACGATGTGGTTTTTAACATTTGTAGCCGCTTAGAAAAATTATATCAGTTTCTTTATATAGAAAATAAAATTACGATTTTTTTCACACTTTTTTACTTATGCATTAGCTTTTTTGTTTCAACTATAGGTGATCATTATAATTATTATATATAATTTTTAATAAAATCGATTATTAAAATCGAAATGAAAGAGTGGATAAAAACTTAATTATTTGTTTATTAAACTATTTTAATTTAATTTATAATTACATGTTACATTTCTTATATTTAATCTAACTGATTTTTATACATTTTCATTGCAGTCGCACACCTGGAAGCCGCCAACCATCACCGGGCGAGGAGGAATTTCAGAAGAACGCTGCCGCCACTCTGGCCGTAAGCGCCGGCGGTGGTGGCGTCGTGCTGCTGAAACCCGGGGTTGACGTTGTCGGCAGCGAAGAACATTTCATGGCAGCGTTTGCACCGCCGCATCATCTGCAGCATCATCAGGCCCCGCCAACTCATCATCTGCAACATCCACACTCGCACGCGGCAGCACAACTTTTCGGAGCGCAAGCTCCGCCACCGCAGGGTCCACCACCCTCGCAGCAACAGCAACAGCAGCAGGGTCCACCACAGCCGCAAGACACTACTACGCATTTCGACGTTCAGGTAAGTCACGTTTTATTCTTCTTTTTTAGGCATTATTAAACAAAGAGAAGGCGCTAAGGTCTCTTTATTTTCAATTTTTTTGAAAAAAAGCTTGCGCCTTTAATTCAATATCAAAGAAAAATTGAGAATACAAGGGGGGTTGGGGGGCTTTTCGCAATTATATGAATATAAAATTTTAAGATATATAATATAGAATAGATAATATATAATATAGAATAAAAAAAAAACCTAAATATGTATATAACATCGAGACTTTTCCCTAGACATAAATAATATACGCTTAAAAATTTTTTTCTTTTTTTAGACTTATAAAACAATTATAATGTCATGTTTCATTGTTGTAATGCAGTTATTGCAATGAGAATCTCGATTTAATCTCGATTACGTAGTAAATGCTCATTCTTGAGAAGAGTGCATCCTCGGTTTGTACTGGCTAACTTTGTAGCCTCTTTCTCATACGGATTTTTTCCGAGAAAATTTTCTTAGTGCTCCACAGTTCCCAGAAATTACCGGAGATGTTAGATATAATCATCTAGGTTACATTACGAAACTTCCCATAAAAAGTGGCTTTTACTTTTATTAACTTTTTTTTAACTTTTTTTTTATTTCTCGAAATGAAAAAAGTAATTTGAATACGAAGAAATAGTAATTAGTTGGACGAATTTAGTCAAGTTAACAACCTTTTTCTCTCAATGTATGAGATTTTATAAAGAGAGGTTTTTTTATCTCGCTTATAAACACTTCGTTTCTCGTCTTTTCATTCAACAAATACAATGATACTACTCGCGCGGCCTTGATCGTGTAATATTCTCGAGAGCATACTTTTTTTCTATTCAGCTTCATAAAAGCGGCCCTCGTATCGATAATAGCTGGCGATTTGCACGGGTTTAAAAGAGGGGGACCGGCAGCGGCGATCATATAAATCATTGAGTGACAGCTTCTTGACGTGTCTACTTTGAGCATGTATTCAGAAAATAGAACAGCATTATATCGGTACCACTAAGCGTTCTTGCATCTCGTCAAAGCGTTTATATTCGGATACATCGCCGAGCATATAATCGCGTTCTTATCATTCATTTTTTATCGTTTATATCACATTAATACGAATTTTTGCAAACGTGGAAAATTTTATACAATTTTATCAGCTTCTGATATTCGATATCTAAAACAAGATGGAAAGTTCTTTCTCGGACATAGAGGGATTGAATAGATTCTCTTCCGTGTCGATCGAGATTGATTAAGACAACTGCGAATGAAGAAAAAGACCGGACAATTGTAACGCACTTTCTTGTCTACGGGAAATGATATCCACCGGTGATCATTGTTCTCGGGAAAAAACCGCGACCAAGTAGTTTCCGCAAAGAACAAAATATCATACGCGCTTCGAGAACAGCGAGTCGATCGTCATCAGTTATCATTGTTTACAGTGGCCACCTGATATTTTTTTTTATATCATACCAACATATTTGTCGGTATTTTAATTATTAAAAAACAACGCATGTGTGGAATAATAATACTGACAAGGACTTAATATATTGTGTCTTCTGATTATATGAAAAATATATTTTAATATAATACTCAATAATATATTTAAAATATACAGGGTGTCTCGTAAAGATCGTAACAACGCTTAAGGGTAAATTTTTGAGATCATTTGGAGACGATTTTTCCTCAGCAAATATGTCGAGAGAGATCATCATTTTTTGTAAGTTTCCAATTTTTTCTATTATATATCTTTGTAACTAAGCCTTAAATTAAACTTCTCTTTCTCTCTCTATTAAAGTAAACTCTATCTGAAATTAATTAAAGAATGTAGTTTTAATTCTTTATAAAGTTTAGTTTGCAAAAAGCCCTTCTTTTTGAATTGCTTATAACAATTATTGATGCCTCGATATTTTTGCTGAGGAAAAGTCATCTTAAAATAATTTCGAATTTATCTTTAAGCGTTGTTACGGTTTTTACAGGACAGCCTGTATAATAACAAACACACACAATAGCGAATTATAAAAATTATATAAAATGTGTGGTAGAGATTTTGAATATTAAATGAGAGATTAAATATAATATTATTATTGATTAAACTAAATTGCATTATACATATAAATATTATATTTCCAGCAATTATTTAATTTAATTATCAAAATTTCCGTAACATACAATTTGCTGTTTTAATTATCGTAAATGATATTTAAGTAGGTTTTTTAAGATACCGACAGATTGTTGCTAACGCGATAACAGAGAATATCGTGCCATCAGTCTTCTCGTATTTTCTCGCTTCTCCCTTTACTCGAGGCGTCTCACGCCTCGATGAAAACGCAAAATGCTGCGCAAAGTCGTCAGCGACCGTGAACAAGACTAGATGTCTGGAAAAAGATAGACGCGACGTATTAATTTTACCTGACAAGCAGGTTCTACTTCCGTGAATATATGCAGTGTTTAGAGAGCGAGTATTTTTCTAACTTCCACTTCAGTCGCTGACAAATCTTTTTTTAAAGAGAAAGGAAGATAAGATAGTTTTAATACGTGTGTTTTATATAAAATATAAGACGTTAGATTAGAGATTAATAAATTATACACACAAACGTATTTTTTTACATATAAAAAAAATGAAGAAAAAAAATACTTTTAAAATAAATTTAATCTTTTGTAAGTTTTTTTTTTTTTGTACAAAATTACATATTTTCAAATGAATTACAACTCTATTACTATTCAACGAGATAATGAAATATGTCCACGGGTTTAATTGTTAAATCGTGTATATCTCTGTTACCTCGGGTCTACCTCACTTGGTAAAAAAAAAAAAAAAAGGTCGACCTTCGAGTCTCTCCCTTCACTGTCGCGTAGAGATTTTCGTAACGCTCGTCGGGCGCCCTGTGTGCGTCGTATATATAAAAATAGGACGCAGGTACGCGCTCATTCCGGGCACATTATGAGCGCGTGCACGCGCGTTTTGACGAGGAAACACGGCGCGCGCGCGCTCTCGGTGCTTTCGCCGTGTCTAACCGCCGTATATACATCTCTCCCCCGCGGGGGAGAGCACGCGTATCCGTGCACGAAAAGTGCGTGCACGCGTGAGACGGTGCTCGCTCGCTCGCCTTCCGATCGTGTTATTACGCGAGCGCTTGTGCTCCTCGATGCATGAAGCGATTCCCAGACCTCTCACCCTCTCTCCGACTCCCTTCTCTGCCCTCATCCTTGCTTCTGTCCTTTTCTTCTCCCTTTTCCGTCTCTTCGCTTTTCCCCTCTCGCGGGAGCGAGAAAGAGAGAAAAGAAGACGGTAAAGGTGCGCGCGTGTGTGTGAACACATATACTGACAGGTAGCAAGAGAGAGAGAGAGAGAGAGAGAGAGAGAGAGAGAGAACGGGTTGTTGACTCGCTGCCCATTCAGCATAAAGTGCAATGACTCTACATCCCGATGAAAATCTGTATCATCGCCCGAAGGTTACAATCTTCGGAGCATCAAAATCGTTTTCCATTTGCGCACATTTTGCGCCCGGGAATTCGAAGATTCTATCTCGAGTATATCCCCCGTTCATGCGTTTCTCCCATCGATCTTAGATTTTCCATGTGACCTGCTTCTTATCGTTGTCGGTTGGATACTAGCTGATTTTTATTTATTGCTTCAGATTCACGGCTATCTTGCCCCTTCTCGTTTGACATTTTAATCCGTCTTCGGTTAGGGAATAAAACGAAAATTATGCAAAACAAAGTCTCGATCATATCAATACATCATCGCCAAGAGAATTGATAAATTTACTGTTTGCATGAAAAATTCCTACAAAAATAAATATCAAATCTTATACAATAAATTGGATAAAATTTTGTTAATATTTTTTGTTTCTGACAATTACATTTTTTTAGATATACATTTTAAATTTATGAAAAAGGATATGATTTTTATTCAATTAATGTGTTAAAGCGTGTCTATTTTGAAAAATCACCTGTAATAAGTACGTATATATTGTGAAAATATGATTAGATTTATAATAGAATTATAAACTTTTGAATATATGTATGTATATATAATTACAAATAGAAACAGAAAATATCGTTGTCGTTCGCTCTATATATTTTATTCTTCGAAAATCAAATCTGCAAGTCGACTCGTGAGTATTCCTCGCTAGTAAAAGAAGTAAAAATCGATTTTCATAATTTTCAACTTCTTTTCCTGAGATTTATATTAAATCGATCGTTGCGATTGACAGTGAAATATAAAGTTCGCTGTATGTTGTCAGAATTGGATTAGTTGTCGTTAACTTTCGGGTGACAGGCAATTTGGACAGTGTGAAATTTATTCGATTTAATTTAATTTCAAAAAATTAAAAAATATTTCATCTGATGTGAATAAGGTGAAAAAATAATTAATCATATTTTTTTAAGTAATTTTGAGGGGATTTTACCTTCAATTTGCTTTTAATTTTAAGCTCAAATATAAAAATACACAATGTTTAAGATTGAAAAAATACTATACGTGATGACGTTTTCCGACATTTTTTTTTCCAAAAATAATTGTTTTCAACATGGCTAAAAAAGTGACAAATAGCATATTTGGGTGGACAGGGGGGAGGACCCCACTACCTTAGTGAATAATCGTTTCGTGTGCCTCGAATTGTCTAACAACGAATATGGCCGAATAGGCCAAGTGCCTGTCACTCATTCGGCGATATTTTTGGCATTCTTACATAACATAACCGGCCATACCTCGGCTACGATAAAGCTCGCTGGCTCCTTTTCCATCGCGTCTTCGTTTCGCTGTTCCCCGCCATTTTTCACGCTGAGTGATTCACTCTGACGTAGATGTGCCAGGAAGAGCCATCGAGAGGTGCCATCTCGTTCCCTCGTGTCATTCTCGATTTATCAGCGACTCCGGTATATAGTTTTTTCTCCTAATTTTTTTTTTTTTCTGCCGGAATACCGTGTAATCTGTTCTCCATCGCGATTACAACGAGATTCTTAAAACGCATTTATTTTTTATGTGCAAAACGCATAATTTCTTTCTT